GCGTTGGGTTCTTTAACCAACACGAGGTCTCCCACCCGAGGAGGTTCTGTCTTGTCAGACCACTTAATGCGCTGCTGCAAAAGATGTAGGTACTCCAGAGACCATCGGTGCCAAAAGCTCTGAGTCATCTGTTGCAGCAGGGCAAACTTGCTCAGCCGCGAAGCGTTCGTTTCCCTGAAGCGGTACTCGGGCAGAGCATTAAGCGGCTGGCCAATCAGGAAGTGGCCTGGGGTTAGAACCTCCAAATCATTCGGGTCGGATGAGAGGGGACAGAGGGGCCGAGAGTTGAGTACAGCCTCAATTTTACAGAATACAGTGGCGAGCTCCTCAAATGTCAAAATAGTTTCACCAATAACGCGACGGAGATGCGCTTTTGCCACTTTAACCACCGCCTCGAAAATACCGCCGCAGTGGGGACACGCTGGAGGGTCAAATTTCCACTGGATGCCCCTTTTTAACATAGCATTGCCTAAATAAGTCCGGTGGCTAGACAGAAATTCGACGACCTCTTTTAGATACCTATCCGTGCCCTTATAATTCGTTCCGCAATCCGATCGGATCAAGTCCGGCAAACCGCGCCGCGATACGAAACGGCCAAGCGTAGCAAAAGAAGGCTTCCGTGCTGAGGGCGCTTACAAGTTCCAAGTGAACGGCTTTAGTGGAGAGGCACACGAAGACGCAAAGATAGGCCTTATGCGAACGCGCGTTACGAAGGTTAGAGGACTTGATGAGGAAGGGGCCAGCAAAGTCGGTTCCAACTCCAGCGAATGGTCGGATGGCCCTGACGCGGTCTGGCGGCAAGTCACCCATGAGAAGCTGTGATATGGTGGCCTTCAGTTTATAAAAGGATATGCACTTAAAGATGACGTTCCGAATGGTGCGTCGGCCAGCCAAAATCCAAAACTCCCGCTGCAAAATAGCCGAAAGAGCGTTACACCCAGCGTGGGCATTCTTAACCTACCAGCAACCGGACAAGGGCGCCGTCCTTAGGGAGCAGCAACGGGTGTCGAGCCCCGTACGGCAGTTGAGAAATTTTCAAACGTCCGCCAACGCGCAGCATCCCAGCATCGTCCAGAAAGAGGTTCAGGCGGGCCAGGGCGCCCTTGATAACGGAGCCACGCTTCAAGATTTCAATGACGGACTCAAAATGCTCCGTTTAGACCATACGGGTCCAATGCATCAAAGCTTCACGACGCTCGCTAGGGGACGAAACGCAATCAGAGAGTCGGTTGGACGGGTCTCTCGGATTGCGGACAAAGCGGCGCAACCAAGCAGTAACTCCTAAGAGCTTATCAAGAGAGCTGTACCGTTCCAGAAGAGAGAGATCCCGAGTGGGCTTATCCTTGCCCACTCCTACTCGGGCTCGTAGGCCCGGCAACTCGGTAGTTTCGGAGTAATTACCTGGGGGCCAGAATGACTGAGACTCAGATAACCAACCGGGTGCCCACCACAGTGGGTGGTCAACCAGCGAGGGGGCCTCACAGCCGCGAGAAGCGCAGTCTGCGGGATTCAACTCCCCTGGGACATGTCTCCAGTTGAGAGAAGTCTCAGAACTCTGAATTTGAGACACACGGTTCGCCACAAAGACCTCAAGATTGTGAGGTGCAGCTCGGAGCCAACAAAGTACTATCTCACTGTCCGACCATGCGTAGACGCCCATAATATCGATTACAGGCTTCAAGGACGACTGAACGTGGTTGAGGAGTCGCGTGAGAAGAGCGGCACCGGACAGTTCCAATTTAGGGATAGTTAAGCGGGACCTAATGGGAGCAACCTTGCTTTTAGCGAGTACGAGATGGACGGCAGTATGACCAGAGGAACTCACTATACGACAGCAGTATAGCCCTTCTCAGAGGCGTCGCAAAACTCATGTGGGGTAGCCCTGCATTTCCCGGGGGGGAGGAAGCACCTTGGCATGGAAACCCGGTTGATGTCCGGAAGGGAGGAGAGCATGGACAGCCACTCTCGCAAGAGGACTCCGCTAATAGGCTCGTCCCAACCCAACCCGGATATCCAGAGCTTTTGAAGAAAGCACTTAGCCAAAAAGATGACCGGGGTGATTCATCCATTAGGGTCGAAGGTGCGGGCTACCGTAGACAGCACGGAGCGTTTGGTCCATGCTTTGGGCGGTGAGTCAAGTTTCACTCTATACGTGAAGGTGTCCTGAACAGGCTGATATTGAATGCCCAGCACAGTCAACAAATTAGGATTCTCAGGGTGCTCGAACAGATGAGGGTCTTGTTGAGCCTCTCCTGGGAGGTCCTTCAAAATATGAGGGGAGTTCGAAAACCACTTGCGCAACTCATAGCCTCCGGACTTCAGGATGGCAATTAATTCGTCTCGAAAGACAAGAGCCTCCTCGACGGTGGAAGCGCCCGTACAAATGTCGTCCATGTAGACCGAAGTCTTCAAAATAGAAGCTCCCCGAGCGTATCTCAGGAGCTCTCTCAGCGAGTTCAAGGAGGGTTCGCATGGCGATATACGGGCTGGACCGGAGTCCGTATGTGGTGGTGTTCAATTCAAACACCTGTATAGAATCGCTGGGCTTCTCGCGCCACAATATCAGCTGATATCGACGGTCATCACGATGGACCACTGATTGGCTACAAAAACCACTTGGTGTCGACGGAATTGGGTCAAGATGTTGGATATGTCCTTGATCAGTTTAGGACCCGAGTGAAGACACTGGTTCAGAGACACACCATTTGATGTGGGGGCGGAACTGTCAAAAACTACCCGAATCTTACTCTCAGGGGTCCTCAAGACCACATGGTGAGGGAGGAAGTAGTGCTCCTGTGAACGCCATTCGAAGTTGGACGGTGACATGTGACCCAGCTCTTGATACTCGCGCATGAACTCGACATATTTGGTGCGAAAGGCTGTGTCGCGCCGCATGCGGTGCTCCATGGAAAGCAACCTCTTCTCGGCTAGTGCACGAGATTGGCCCAAAGAAGGACGTGAGTCCAGAAAGGGTAAGCGAGTGACGAAACGACCGTCGACCCGACGGCCGGTATTGTTCTGGAAGAACAACTCGCACTCACGGTCCAGAGGGATGAATCGCGCCGCCTGTGGTGGTTCCTCAATTTCCCAGAACTGCTGGACGGCGTCCGAAAGGCACACGACCACAACGGAGAGCGGGTCGGCCGTCGGAGAGGGAGGAGACCACATAACCGGTCCAAAGAAGCTGTGCCCAAATATCGTGGCATTGGCTGACAGGCCATCGGGCTGTAGAGCTCGTATCTCACCTAACAAGATGACCCCCAGCGTGTCGGCCCCCAGTAACAAATCTATAGGCCCAGGTTGGGCCCACCGAGGGTCTGCCGGTCTCAAAGCCGATGCACAGCGAACCGCGCTATCATTTACACGAACGTTAGGGAGAAACCCTACAATGTCATCGAGGACATTTACCTTGACTAAAATGCGAAGGTGTTCGCTGGCAGGGCTGAACACCAACTCCGCTTGTCCCCTAGGAACAGGAGGCTCGGCACCTCCGATACCTACCATCGGACGTGATTCAGAGCTCCAGGAGAGCCCCACTCTTCCGACCAACCAAGTGGAGGCCACACTATGTTGGGAACCCGAATCTAATAGAGCTCGAACCGTTAAGCGGTCGCCGCTCGGGTTGTACACCTTCACTGAGGCGGTCGGCAATAGAACAGTTTGACAGGTGGACTGCTGACGGCCCAAAGGCTCAGTGGAGGCGGCCATGGCGGGAGCTAGGGCGGCAGCCTCCTATCTGGAACTGCCTCTGTCGGACCGGCACCCGAACCGGGGGCCCCGAGAGCGGCAATCCGACGGCGTCCCGATGACCCTTGACTGGAATTCCCCGAACGGGCCGGCCTGGGGAAATTTGGGGATCATCGGCTCCGAGGCCCGGAGCCGATACGCGGTCTCCGGCACCCGGTAATACCGGCACCGACCAAAGGGGGACGGGCGGCGTTCCAGTCGCGGCCACTCAGCCAACGGGGGTGAGAACGGTCTAGCTGACCGCTGAGTGGCTGCGAATCCACTCTCAACCCGCTGAGGGGGGGTGAAGACCCCCCCGCCCCTGGGGGAACGACTCCCCGGCCGGTCGGGGGAGAGACTCCCCTCAGAACGAGGGGCGCTGTGGTCAACCGGCGAGCGCCGAGCGTCGCCCGACAGGGGGCGTGGCTGAGCGCCCCCGCCCGTGGGAGTCGGGGGGCTGGCAGGGCCCGGAGAGGACGCGCCGCGCGCACCCAGGCACAACATGATGTGGTGGTTGCCCTGGCAGTGCGTGCAGGGCCGCTGGTGCTGGCAGACTTGTTGAAAATGCCTCTCCAGGCATGAGTAGCACCAGCGGCGCTCCCTGGCGATGGTTCGCCTCGTCGGAGCAGGCTTGCGCAACAACTTAGGGCACGACGCCGCCCGGTGGTCGGATGCTCGACAATAGGAGCAGGGAGGCGCCTCCCGGGCCGCTAGGCCACTATAGGAGGGTAGGAGGGGGGAAGCGTCCTCCCGCGGGGGCTCCGCTCGGCCTCAGGGGGGTGGGCGACGCCTTGGCCGTCTGATTCCGCCTCTTCCTGGGCACCACTCGAGCGGCGGCCGGGGGGCCCTCGACGGCGCCTGCTGCGTTCTCTAACTGCCAAACTAAATGCATAGCTTGCTACATATATATTTATCTATGACTAAATGTACCAGAGACGTCCGTCTGAACGCGTAGTGTTTCTATTTATCTATGGTTTCTATATAGTTTGTGGGTTCACTCAACAACCACAGAGTACATTGTATATACATGAAACAACAATCATGAATTCATGAACCCTCTCGTTGGAGAGTAATATATTTCTTGTACGAACCTATTTAAAATGTATTACCAAGTATTATAAATTCGTTCCGAGTTCGAGTACCTAGATAATATCTACTTTTTAACCAATCTGGACAAGTCTAAAACTAGGTTGAAGACAAATTATCATTACTAATGAGTTTTCAAGGATAAATTACAGTTATTGTGTAATATAGAAGCGAAATCACTTACTTTAATGCTCGTACTAAATACGTTGTCTATTTTAGTTCAAGTGGTGTTCATAGTGTTTATGTCATTGCTTTCTATGAATATAATTCGACATTTTACTGGCTATCGCAAAATGATGGTTTTAGCGCCCGCGCTTTTTGTAAATCACGGTGGTGGCCCGATGCCACTTCTTGGTGACAAAGAACACGCTGGTCTGACTATTTTCTTACGGGATGAAGTGAAAAAACATGTCAATATTAAAGAATTAAAAGCAATCATTTTAATTACTGCGCATTGGGAAGAAAATAAAGTGACTATTTCATCAGGTAAGCATCACAACTTGTATTTTGATTACTATGGATTCCCACCAGAATCTTATAAGTACAAGTATGATGCACCGGGTGATCCAGAACTAGCTGAACACATTAAAAAGAGCTTGGACAAGGCTGGCATAGAGTCTAGACTTGACTCCAAAAGAGGTTGGGATCATGGAGTATTTGTTCCAATGATGCTTATTAATCCTGAAGCAGATATACCAATAATTCAAATATCGGTTTTAAGCAATCAAGATCCTGAGCAGCACTACAAACTTGGGCAAGCCTTATATGAGTTCCGAAAGGAGGGTATTGCCATATTTGGATCTGGTATGTCTTATCACAACATGAGAGAGTTTATGTATAGCAGACATCAAAATACAGTTGTTAATAAAGAATTTGATGATTTCTTAAATGAAGTTTGTACATCTGAGAGTGAAGAGAAAAGACGAAAAGGTCTTATATCTTGGAGACAGCAGCGAGGAGCATCTGATGCCCATCCTCCGCGTGCTGCTGAACACTTCATGCCATTGATAGTTGTAGCTGGAGCAGGAGGCTCAGCACCTGGTAAAAGGATATTCAACTGGGATATGAGTGGTACATTCCGTTTAAGTGCATTTATTTGGAAAGATAAATAAGAAATGAATGGATTTTAAGCAAATTTATAGACAGTTTAAAACCAAAATACACAAATGCAAGGAATGCTTATATATTTATTACTTCCCAAGTGTGTGGCCATGCGGGTTACTGGCAGGTGCTAATGTAAACAATATTTTATTTTTATTTTTGTATGCCAGCTATATACAAAACTTATATAGATGGAATTATTACGAATTAAGCTATTAAAAATTTAATTCTATATTGTTGCTTATTATTGAATAATCTTACTGTTTATTGGTTTGCTATATCTTTCTTTCAGACAAGTGATATGTTCATTGTTCATAGTTTTATATTTATAGTAAAAAATAAATGGATAACTTAAGCTTAACTTTTGGGATAAAGGAAAAAATAAATGTATACTCTTTGACACACACTCTGTTGAGGGACCATTACATACTATTTTATTACAAAAATGGTTTAATGTGTTGTAACTATTAATACTAATTAAGTGTATTATTTTCTAAGGCTTGCATATTTTTGAGTGATATTGTTAATATAATATTAATTTAAATATATTATTGGTTGCAATACTTGTCTTGTTATATCTTACTTTCTTTCTTTCTTGTTAAGTTCTCAACTGTTTATATTTTATATGTATGTTCAGCCAGGGTGAGGGGATTAAGTCGTATTTCACGTGTTTTTTAATGGGAAAGAACTGAGCCCTGTTGAATCCACTGTTTTTCTTGGTGTCACTCTCGACGCAAAGCCCTATGGGCCCCCATATGTCCAAACTAGCAAGCAGACTAAGTTCTGCAGCCTATGCTGTAAAAAAGATTAGAGGTCTCACTAGTGTCGAGACAGCTAGATTAGTTTATTTCAGTTATTTCCATAGCATAATGTCTTATGGTATTTTGCTATGGGGAAATGCGGCTGATTCAGAAACTATTTTTGTTTTACAGAAGAGGGCCATTAGAGCTATTTACAACCTAAAACCGAGACAGTCTCTTAGAGATAAATTTAAAGAAATAAATATATTAACTTTGCTGGTTCTTCCCAGAACAGAGGTTTTTTTTTCAAACCAGTGGTAAAGTAAAAAATGACTTTCAATAAGAATTACACATGTGATCTATATTGAATAAAAAATTATTCTATTCTATTCCATTCTATTCTATCACGTCGGAGTCACCATATTTGATGGAAAGGTCCATAATAAAAATAAAGTCACATCACCGATGTTCAATAATCTATTACTACACATATGGTACAACATAAGGTGTGAACGTTAACTTAAATAATTATAAAATTACTCTAATTATAAAAAGGTTGTGGAACATGTGAACTACACACTAAAATAATAATGTTCTCCAGATCGAATTTCGGTTACGGCGGCCAGCCTCAATGGAGACTAGCCAGCCTCAGCGCAGAATGGCATTATAATGCCCAAGTGTATGCGCAACCACAGATGCACTTTCTATTCCCTCACTCTCAGGCGCAAGATCAACGGCTTTACGTGCTTTCCGAGGCACGGGGGTGAGACACCGCCAACTTCCTAACTTCGGGCGAGAATGTCTTGATGGAAAAAATAACTGATTTTTTTGGCCCGACTCGGGATTCGAACCCGGGACATCATGATCAGCAGTCGCACTACTACAACCACTAGACCAACGAGGCAGTCACACACTAAAATAAGTCTTGTCGCAAATAAGACTAGTCGCAAGAGTTCAGGAGCAAGAGAGTTAGAGCTGGACTCGGATGCGGAAACCTTATCTTCTGGGTTGTTAGTTATTTTCTATAGGCATTAACAATACAAATTAAAAAAATTGTACAACCGATTTCAATATAAAGAAAATAATTTACTGTTGATTTTTTAAAACCGCTCGACAGATTTCGATAAAATTTAAATGGGACCACCCGGGACATACCCTTAGAAACAAAAAAAGAATTGTCTGCCGATTTCCAAAAAGGAGACGGTACTCAATTCGACTATATGTTTTTTTTTAATTTTATGTGTGTTACCTCATAACTTTTTACTGGGAGAACCGATTTCGATGATTCTTTTTCTGCCGACTTCCACAAAGGAGACGGTACTCAATTCGACAGTATGTTTTTTCTGCCGACTTCCAAAAAGTAGACGGTACTCAATTTGACTGTATGTTTTTTTTAATAATGTGTTACCTCATAACTTTTTACTGGGTGAACCGATTTTGATGATTCTTTTTTTATTTGAATGCTGGGAATTTGGTCAAGGCCAGACCACTAGTTTTTGACTTATTCTTAATAACTTATATTGAAGTCGGCTGTAGAACATTTTTAATTTTAAATTATTTTTATGTGTGTTACCTCATAACTTTTTACTGGGTGAACCGATTTCGATGTTTCTTTTTTTATTTGAAAGCTGTCACTTCTCGTGTGGTCCCATTTGAATTTGATCATGGTCAGACCAACAGTTTTGGAGTTATTCTTAATAACTTATATTGAACTCAGCAGTACAAAATTTTTAATTTTTAATTATCTACATCGGTTCAGGTGTCTTCGGGTAATAGGTGAACATACATAGAAAAAAAAAACATACAGTCGATTGAGTATCGTCTCCTTTTTGGAAGTCGGCAGAAAAAAGATTCCGACGAATTAAGAATTTCCTCCATTTTGAAGTCGGTGGATAAACTAAAACCCCACAATATTATCACCATGAAATAACAATGTTGTGTTTGTTGTTACGAGGGTGGATTGAAAAGTACTCGGCCTAACCAAGAAAATAAACAAATACTAAATCAGTTATATTTTTATTTTTCTACATAATCACCATCAAGTTCAATACACTTTTGCCACCTCCCCTTCCAAGCATTTAGACCGTTGAAAAAAAATGATTCTTCCTTAGAGTCAAAATATGCGTCTACTGCTGCTTTGACCTCGTCGTTTGTCGAAAATCTTTGACCTCCCAAGTGTTTTTTTAGGTTAGGGAACAGAAAGAAGTCTGATGGTGCCAGATCAGGTGAATACGGCGGATGCGGTAACAGTTCAAAGCCACAGTTGTGAATTTTAGCCATTGATTGTACTGACGTGTGAACACGGGCGTTATCTTGATGAAACAGGACTTTTCTTCTGAGCATTCCTCGACGTTTTTCTTTTATTTCCTCTCGTAAACGGCGTAGTAAGGTGCAGTAGTAATCAGAGTTTATATTCTGACCCCTTACAAGATAATCAATCATAATCACACCTTTCGAGTCCCAGAATACTGAAGCCATCACCTTATTTGCCGACAAAATCGACTTAGCCTTTTTAGGGGGTGGTGAACCAGGTCTTCTCCACTGTTTTGATTGTTGTTTTGTTTCCGGTGTACAGTAATGAACCCATGTTTCGTCCATAGTAACAAAACGATTTAAAAAATCATCTGCATCGGCTTCAAATAACTCCAAACAGTCGCGTGAAATAGTAAATCGCGTCCTTTTTTGTTCAACTGAAAGCAGTCGCGGAACCCACCTCGCAGACACCTTGTGGAAACCCAACTCGTTGACAATGATGTTTTGAGTTCGTTCATAAGAGATGCCTATAATCTCGGCTATCTCTCTAATTTTTAATCTGCGGTCTCCCATTATTAAATCAAGTACTTTTTTAATATTTTCGTCAGTAGTTGACGTCGAAGGCCTTCCAGAGCGGGGTTCATCTTTCACACTCTCTCTACCATGCTTAAATTCTGCTATCCATTTTTTGACGGATGAATATGACAGAGCACAATCGCCTAATGTACTGACCATGTCATCATGTATGGCTTTTGATGATAGCCCCTTCTTATGGAGGTACTTAATGACGGCACGCTGCTCGATTTGCTCCATTCGCGGAAATTATGTCCGATTACTTTGTTAATAAATTTATAAAATCACAACTAATTATCGCACGCGTTTCGAACTTCACACAATGAACTAGTCTGAACTGAACTAAATAATGTGGGTAGATTTGATTTTTAGAATTGAATGGATCTGTGTTAGGCCGAGTACTTTTCAATCCACCCTCGTACTATCGTCAAACGATCTCTATTTAATGATTTCGTCAAGCAAAATTATTATATGGTTAACAAGCAGTGTTAAATTTCATAAAATGTGAAAAATGTTACATGAAATAGTGGACTAATTACGGATATGATCGATTTTACGATTTGGCCACGACATAACTATATGAACATTGAGAGTTTTGCAAGAATCGCTAGCAGACCAGTTTTAATCAGTTTATTGAATAGTCCAAGATCCCAGGACCACCATACGTCACTTATTTTCTGACGAACGAAATATGTATGATTGAGTAGTGTTAGTATGTACTATGATCGCATGCCTACCTGATACCTTGGCCTTTAGTCTAGGGGATGGTTGAACCCCTTGGATCGGTCTGCCTTCTTGTAAAAGGTTTTAAAATAGCGGTCTAGCTAATATATATATAAAAATGAATGTAAGTGAAATTGAGTAATTTTTTTGCGAGATTTAAAGCGTCTGCAAAGCGATAATGTCGACGGAAAGTGTCTGGGAGTATTGATGACTGATTTTTGACGATATTATATCTAATGGGTCCTATACGTCATCGGCCATGATGGACGAATACTAGCGATCACGATCGTGTGAAGGGTATGATCGCCTATAATTGCCCGTGATCGGTGACGAGCGTAATGGCTGCTGTGTCGGTTTTTTGGACAATCGTCAAAGGAAGATCTAGTTTAGTTTTAATTTTATTAATTACAGGAGCCCAAGCAGGTGGTAATACCCAGCCTCCCTCTCTATTGGCTGCCAAAATTAATAATTAAAAAAGCTGAAGGTACTCCGGGTTAACTCTGACATCGGGACGTCAATCACCTCAGTCCCCCGTGACCATGGCTACTGGCAGAATTCTATCAAGAGAAGCCATAATTTAAAAGAAAAAGAAGAAGGCCATGGGTGCTGTAAAGCACCCGAAACGTCGGGAATTAATGAAAATAAATCAATTAAACGCGATAGAATCAGTAAAAGTAGTTTTATTCAATTTGTAGTATTCGCGTAAATACGAGAAATCCTAAACTTGAACTTTTGATTATCTACGTGCTTAAACAATAAGTAAAGTACCTAAAGATAAAGTATAAAAACGAATAATAGATAATAGGAATTATCATTAACAATGTTGTTAATGATCTTTTGAAGTTTTTACATAACATACATACATAAACACTCACGCCAGTCACCCAGAGGGGTAGGCAGAGACTATAGACTTCCATTTGGCACGATCCTGACACACCTCATTCGCTTCATCCACATCCATATACCTACCTAGTCATACACGCTCGTCGGTTAAAGGTACTCTTGATTTGGCCCATTTTCAATATATCGCCAATTTGGTCGATAAACTTTCGCCTAGGGCGTCACTTCCCGACACTGCCGTTCACCTCTGCAACATAAATTTGCTTTGTCACTCTTTTCTCATTCATTCTTTCTACATGACCAAACCACCGAAGTATTCCTTTCTTAATCACACTCTTCTCTTATCACACAATTTCTCACTCTGTCATTCGGATTCAGCCCTAACATACTCCTTATTGAACGCATTTCTACAGCATTTATTCTATTCTCGTACTTCTTCTGCCACACCCAACTTTCACTACCATACATTAAAGTAGGGACTTGCACAGCATTGTCGATTGCCATACGTGCCTTTTTGGACACATTCTGACTTCTCAATATAGGGCGTAGAGCCCCATTCACTCTATTTCCTGCGTTTTATATTATTTATTTTCAATATATTATATAATTAGTATATCAAAGCTTAAGATAAGCTCCTTAGTGTAGTTATAAGCAAGCTATGTTTGTTTATACTATGTCTATAAGATAATATTACCTTTGATGCGATAGTCAGTATCAGTAGTCACCGCACCGTAGTTGTCATTTAAATAAAAGAACGAAATCACTTTATTTCATGCTCGTACATAATACGTTGTCTATTTTAGTTCAAGTGGTGTTCATAGTGTTTACAACATTGCTTTCTATGAATTTAATTCGACATATTACTGACTATCGCAAAATCATGGTTTTAGCACCCGCGCTTTTTATAAATCACGGTGGAGGACCGATGCCACTTCTTGGTGACAAGATACACGCAGATCTCACTACTTTTTTACGAGACGAAGTGAAAAATCACGTTACTTTAAAAGAACTGAAAGCAATCATTTTAGTTACAGTGCATTGGGAAGAGAATAAAGTGACTATTTCATCAGGTAAGCATCACAACTTATATTTTGATTACTATGGTTTTCCACCAGAATCTTATAAGTACAAGTATGATGCACCCGGTGATCCAGAACTGGCTGAACGCATAAAAAAGTGCTTGGACAAGGCTGGCATAGAATCGAGACTCGACTCAAAAAGAGGTTGGGATCATGGAGTATTTGTTCCAATGATGCTTATTAATCCTGAAGCAGATATACCAATAATTCAAATATCGGTTTTAAGCAATCAAGATCCTGAGCAGCACTACAAACTTGGACAAGCGTTGTATGAGTTCCGGAAGGAGGGTATTGCTGTATTTGGATCTGGTATGTCTTATCACAACATGAGAGAGGCTATGAATAGTAGAAATCTTAAGAAAGTTGTTAATAAAGAATTTGATGATTTCTTAAATGAAGTTTGTACAGCTGAGAGTGAAGAGAAAAGAAGAAAAGGTCTTATATCTTGGAGAGAGCAGCGAGGAGCATCTCAAGCCCATCCTCCGCGTGCTGCTGAACATTTAATGCCATTGATAGTTGTAGCTGGAGCGGGACGCTCAGCACCTGGCAAAAGGATATTCAACTGGGATATGGGTGGTACATTCCGAGTAAGTGGATTCATTTGGAAAGATGAATGATGGAAAATATGTTAGTTGGATTTAGGCAATTTTATACAAGTTTTAAACTAAGATTCATACATTTTATAATTAAAAAGGTATTAAAGATGATGCATCTATAATTTTATTAATACGATGTAAGAACTTTACTATAATGCCTTATTATGTTTATTAAAAAAGGTTTTTACTACATTATTGTTACTTTTCACTATAAATTATACTAATTAGAATAAAGTTTATTGTTTTCCATATTACTTTTATAAAAGTAATTTGTTGATTGTTCATATAGTTTCATAATTAAAAATAAATAAAAGTTTATCTTTTAGGATAAAGGAAAAAAAAACATAATATGTAACTCTTTGACATATAAGTAATAATATTAATATGTATATTATTTTTTGTTACTACAAGGGATAGGTTTTAACTTAAGTATCAAGACTTAGTATTCTATACGTGGCAGAGCCATGCTGCAGCTATATTAGTAGGACAGTTGTAGCACGAATGGGTCGGCTCGACCGGGGAAGTACCGCGTTCTCACAGAATACCAGCGTAAAATAGCAGCTTAACACTGTTGTGTTTCGTATGGGTAGTATAGAGAATCGGAGACCCATTTTACTGGAAAAGAGGCATTCCACCTTAGTCCTTACGGGTAACGACGCATCTGCATTTTGATTCTTTATTGAGGATAAATGTAGACGTCTATGGGTCACAGCAACCACTTACCCTCAAGTGGAATGTGTGCTCGTTTGTCATCCTATCCTATAAAAAAATTATTTATTCTGTGGTATTAGTGATGGAATGATACGACTATTACCATACCATTTTTTTATAGGAGAGGGGGCAAACGAGCATGCGGCTCACCAGATGGTAAGTGAATACCGCCGCCCATGAACAACCGCAACACCAGGGGAATTGCAGATGCGTTGCCGGCCTTTTAAAAATGAGTAGGCTCTTTTCTTGAAGGTCCCTAAGTCGTATTGGTCCGGAAAAATCGCTGATGGTAATCGATTCCACAAAGAAGTCGTGCGAGGAAGAAAACTTCTTCTAAATCGCACAGTGGTGGATAGCCTATCATTCAAATGGTGCGGATGGTATCGGGAGTTCTGCCGCGATTTGCGTTCGTGAAATTTGGCGGCTGGGATTAATGCGAACAATTCCTCAGAGCACTCCCCGTGGTAGATGCGAAAGAAAATGCAAAGGGATGCAACATCTCTTCGCAGTGACAATGAATCGAGCCGATCGGAAAGTACTCGGTCGTCGACGATTCGAACAGCTTTGCGCTGGATGCGGTCAAGTGGAAGGAGCTGGCACTAGGGAACCCCTGCCCAGAGATGGGAACAATATTCCATGTGAGGCCGAACCTGCGCCTTGTAAAGTTGCAGGCGGTGTGCCGGCATGAAATACTGTCCCGCTCTGCTGAGCACGCCAAGCTTTTTAGAGGCCAATTTGGTCTTCTCTTCCAAGTGACCACGAAACTTCACGTCACTCGATATGTCGACTCCAAGGATTCCGATACTGGCTGAGGCAAGAAGGGTAGTGCCTTGAAACTGAGGAGATACGACAAAGGGGTTCATTTTAGCGGTAAACGCGCTAACTTGTGTCTTCTGAGGATTAAACTGGACTAAATTTAGTCGCCCCCAATCCGACACTTTGTTCAGCAAAGACTTCAGATACAAGTTTGTTCCGGTACTCAGTGACGTTTTCCCGAGAAATACGAGCACGGCCTAATATAAATGACAAATAAATACATCATCATTATGATTATTAATAACGATGCAAATGTGCTTTATTATTTGATATTTATTGTTAATATAATATGATTATAAATTGAAGGTTTGTTGCAATATACTTGTATTGTTTTACTTATTCTTAACCGACTTCAAAAAAATGTGTTACAACTTTGTCTGCATAATCTTTATATATAAAAATTTCGTGTCACATTGTTTGTCCGCGATGGACTACTAAACTACTGAACTGATTTCAATGAAATTTTGCACACTGTGTGCAGTTTGGTCCAATTTGAGAGACAGGATAGCTTTTATCCCGATAAGTGACCCTCAATATTTTTATTACGAATTTAAGGATTCTTTATAGGGCAAAAGGTCGTCTGAGAGGGCAGAACAACGTCTGCCTGGCGAGCTAATACTTATATATTTTAATGTATGTTCATGCTTAATTTATTTGTTTATAAACTGATTAATGATAAGTAATCGCGTCAGAGCGCGCGATGACTTATCATTAATCTACGAGGATAAGTATATTTTATACGTGGTAGAGCCACACTGCAGCTATATTAGTATAGTACCTATAGTTAAATACAATATTATTTTGATTTAGTACACTAAAGTTTAGGCTTCACATGTTTAAAAACAAGAATTGTAACATTTATTTTACGTGGTAGAGCCATGCTGCAGCTATATAATTAGTATAGTTGTAGCACGAATGGGTCGGCTTAAGTGGGGAAGGACCACGCTCTCACATTTACCGAATACCAGCGTAAAATAGCAGCTTAACACTGCTGTGTTCCGTATAGTGAGCGTAGAGAACCGGATACCCTTTTTACTGGAGACGAGGCATTCCATCTTAGTCCTCACGGGGGATAATGTATCTGATTTTTGATTCTTTATTGAGAATAAATGTAGATGTCTATGGGTCACAGCAACCATTTACCATCAGGTGGAATGTGTGCTCGTTTATCACCCTATCCTATAAAAAAAAAGATGTCCATCCCTAAAGGTGGGAAAATAAGGGATAGATATTCTAATGTAGGTAACTGTTTAGATGACATTGTAGCTGTTTCTTACTTTGAACTTGCGATATTGCTACCACACAATATTTATAAGTCACGGTAAAAATTACATTTTATTCGAGACGTACTAGTGAAAAGTTAGAAGTGTTCGTACGAGAAAACGTCTCGCAGCACCGCGGTTCTCCTTACGGTTAAGCTTTGGTTAGAGGGGTAAGTGGCGATAGTGCCGCCACCTAAGGATCTCCTAAGTGTGTGTTGGTTGCGGATTATACAGTGGTCCCAATCAATCGCCGGTACGACATACTCCGCTAACTGTCGAGTCCGCATACTCCGCGAGGCGTCGAGGTCACCGGCCCTTAGGCAGATTCTTCAGGATACCGATACTGGCTGAGGCAAGAAGGGGAGTGCCTTAAAACTGAGGAGATACGACAAAGGGGTTCTTTTTAGCGGTAAACGCGCAAACTTGTGTCTTCTGAGGATTAAACTGGACTAGATTTAGTCGCCCCCAATCCGAGACTTTGTTCAGCAAAGACTCGACTTCAGACACAAGTTTGATCCGGTACTCGGCGACGTTTTCCCGAGAAATATTGGCACGGCCGGTGTATTTCCCCCGTCATCAAGAGTCGAGTTGGACGCAAAAAGGGAGCCTAAAAGGTCAGCTTTGTCTTTTGCGTCTTGGGCCAGTGAGTCGTCCTCCCTGTGCAGAGATGGTAGTGTGATGGCTTACAGAAATTGCCTTAGACAGCCATGGCGAGAGACCAGAATGCACGGGTTCCGAAAGGGAGGCGAACTAGTTTCTCGCCAATTCTGCCTATGTGCTCTGACTTTGCCCTGGCAATAACTCTTTTGAAGGACCTAGAGGCAAAGTTATACTACTTTTTAAGTGTGCTGGTGTTTACATCCCGAGTCGCCGAAGCCGCAGCCCAGGCTTGATAACACTCCTGCTTACTGCGTAATGCAGTCTTACAGGAGCGACCAAACCAAGGCTGAGATCTGCCTCCGATGGGTACCACAGATGATGGAATAAATAGTTCCATTCCCTGTAGCACCACATCAGTGACAGAGTCAGCAACAGCGCTGGGATCATCCGGCGAGAAGCAAACCCGCCCCCATGGGTAGGATGCAAAGAAAGACCGCATTCCGTCCCAATCCGCCGACCTGTAATGCCAAACACGGCGGCAACCTGCAGAACGCAACCGCTAAGGGAGCGTGAGTGGCACCACACTCCGGATCAGACAATGGTCCGAAGAACCGAGAGGGGCATCGACGGAAACCTGATATCCGTCCGGATGAGAGGTCAGCAGAAAGTCCTACAGGGAAGGTGTATGATCCTCCACATCTGGAATCCGCGTAGGCGAAGTAACCAGTTGTGTCAGACCATATGCCAAGGCAAAGTCATAAACAGATCTCCCCACAGGATCGGTGAAACGTGAACCGAGCCATTCGGCATGGTGGGCGTTAAAATCGCCAAGGATCACGATCTCTGCGGATGGGACCTGTTGTAGCAAGGAATCTGTAGCTATTTGGACGTGGTCGATGAGTCTGTCTGTTTCGGCATTACCGCTATGGGACCTATAGAGGCACCCGTAGACACGCGGATGGTCGTCCCTGTCTACGCGTAGCCAAAGGATGGACAGGTCCGAACCTTCAAGACTGCCGAGGCGTCGAGAACAGATGTCCTCTCTGACATACACGCAAACTCCAGCCCGAGGCACAAAGGAGTGCTCCAATTTGTACCCCGGGTAGGAGAGATAAGAAATATCAGCCGGAGAGGAAACCTGCGTCTCGGTCAGAAAGAGCAAGGCCGGCTTCAATTCATTCATGGGGCAATGTATACGCTTTTACAACAAAGTCCCAGAAAATATGCAGACCTTTTCTATCAAAAGGTTTAAATTATTTATTAAGCAAAAATTGTCTAGTAAGGGTTATTATACTACTAAAGAGTACATGACTGATAATAACCCCCGGGAATGAGGTGATCGCTACCATGCTGTTTCTAAACGTTTTCATACTTATAAGTTGGGCTGAAAAGTTCGTATCGTTTTATAGAAAAACATTTGTTTGGCAAAGTTCGATTTTATTATTCAACATAGTTGCCATCGAGGGCGATACGCTGATTATAGCGATGTTTCAACTTTTCAATACCATTTTCTGCCGACTTCCAAAATGGAGCCGGTACTCAATTCGACTGTATGTTTTTTTTTTTTTTCGTTTTTTTTTTATGTGTGTTACCTCAGAACTTTTTTCTGGGTGAACCGATTTCGATGATTCTTTTTTTATTTGAAAGCTGGTACTTCTCGTGTGGTCCCATATGAATTTGATCAAGGTCAGACCAATAGTTTTTAAGTTATTCTTAAATAACTTATATTGAAGTCGGCTGTACAAAATTTTTAATTTTAAATTATTGTAGTACGATTTGTGTTTAGCCTCAAAATATGCCTCTGTTTCGGCGATTACTTCCTCATCGGCTTTAAATTTCTTTCCAGCGAGCGTTCTTTTGAGATCTGAGAACAGGAAAAGTCGCTGGGGGCCAAATCTGGAGAATACGGGGGATGTGGAAGCCATTCGAAGCCCAATTCATGCAATTTTGCCATCGTTTTCATCGATTTGTGACACGGCGCATTGTCTTGATTGAACAACACTTTCTTCCTCTTCAAATGGGGCCCCTTTTTCGCATTTCGTCCTTCAAACGCTCCAATAACGCTGTATAATTGTCACTGTTGATGGTTTGCAATGATGGATTGCAACAAAATGTTTTAAATGATGAGCTATTTCGTTGCAATGTGAATCAGATGATCATCACACTTGGGTATCATTTCAATACATAACAAGAAATTGCAACCGTGACAGTTAATGCAAAACATACAACCCGAATATTGAGACATTTTCAAAAGGTTTACAGCCAGCTGCGTCGCAATCATCGTTAACTTCTAAACAAAAAATCTGACCAAGTGCGTGTAGGGCCGCGCACAATGTAGAGGTAGGGTTGCGTAGTTGCCCGTCACAATACTTGGGCTTCCTTGACAATGAGCATAATAAATGAGTTCGCGGTTTGACCGCTATAACGACTAAAAATGGTTCAAAATAGGAAGATCGTAACTGAAGGATTTATTTTCAAATCAGCCTTATGGGGAGTGGTATCAAAAAAGATTAAAAAAACTTTACAATTTTGATAATAATATCCTATCTATGCCACAAATGAAAAAGTAAAGCCAATAGTAATAATGCATATAAGTAGTTTTCTTCATAAAATGTTTATTTTTAACATTTTACAATAACATTACAAAGTTATTAATGCAGCCAGTTTTAGGTCATCTTCTATGGAGTTGTAACGAAATTTTTTTTACTAATCCAAGTGCATTTTATAAGTTGGTCGACTATTACACTGTTTTATAGGATAGGGTGACAAACGAGCACACAGTCCACCTGATGGTAAGTGGTTGCTGTGGCCCATAGACATCTACATCTATCCTCACATAATCACAATGCAAGTGAGGACTAAGATGGAATGCCGCTTTTCCAGTAAAAAGGGCGTAGAAGTATTAGGCTTAGAACCGCAGTAGGCGCACGCAAAGTGAAGCCATTTCAAGTTAGCCTTTAAAGGCTAAGTACGAATTTTGGCGCGTTAGTACTCGAGTCCACGTAGTCGTATACACAGCTTGCCCAATTTTTAAAAAAAATGACGTACTGTACTGTGAAAGGGTGTCACAACTCATCACATAATCACGAAAAAAATGTAAAAATCTCATTTCACGGGTAAGAACTGCCTAGAATCTTATATTTTTGTAAAAAACATTCATCAAAACAAAATAATAAATAATAAATTTGACAGACGCCAATATAATGAAAATGTTGCAAAGCATAGTAAAAATATTTTACCCCATCTTTTCTTATTAATATTGTTGGCGACGAGCCCGAAAATAATATTTCAATTTATTAGTTTCCCACTTACAAACAGCTTCTAAAGATTAATCATCAAGTGATAGTTATTCTATTTAGTAAGCGCTTAGTAAAATTTTAAAGTAATTTCGATTTAATGTTCAAAGGTCCCGGGTTCGATCTCCGGTCGGAACGATCACAGGCCGCTTCTGCACACA